CCAATTCCTGACCCCCTCCCTCACCCCCCACCTCGGGCTGCTCCTGGACACGTTCCTCAGCAAGCTCCTTGGCCTTCCAGCCGGGTGGTTGGAGGCAGCCCAAGGTCTCTGTCAAGTGCTTCATCCCTGCAGGGAGATGGTTCCGTGAGCTGCAAGAGGACGGATTGTCTGGAGACCTGTCCCTACCCCATCCCCATCCCTGGGCAGTGCTGCCCCGACTGCTCAGCAGGTGAGGGCTGCTGTCCCCTCCCTGTCCCCTCTGCCCACAGAGTGGGGGGGTCTCCAAACCACCTGGGGACCACCAGCTGCCCCCCTCCTCCCCACAGGCTGCACCTACATGGGTAGAATCTTCTACAACAACGAGACCTTCCCCTCCGTGCTGGACCCTTGTCTCAGCTGCATCTGCCTGGTGAGAGCTGCACTGGGACCCCCCCTGCCCCTCATTGGGTTACCCCCTCTTTTTGCCCCGCCCCAGCCCACCCTGGTGGGTGCTAACGTGTGTGTCCTGTCTCCCAGCTGGGCTCAGTGGCCTGTTCCCCCGTGGACTGTGCCATCTTCTGCACCTACCCCTTCCACCCCGAGGGCGAGTGCTGCCCCGTCTGCAAGGGTAAGAGCCAAGGGGATGGGCACAAGAGGGACAACTGGCCACCAGCCACTGGCCACTGGCCACTTCTACACCACCAGGGGACAACTGGCCACCAGCAACTGGCCACTTCTACACTACCAGGGGACAACAGGCAGTGCTGTGGGCAACCTTGGATGGTTCCAAGGAACCTGTGGAGGCACCAGTGGGTGATCCCCTTGGCAGCAGCAACAGTTCACACCAGGGTAGAGGCAGCTCAGGTGTGGGACACAGCCCAGGCCTGATGAGCTGAAAGTGACACCAACAAACGTGTCACGAGCAGCTCCTTTTGGCCTCAACTTCCCCAGTGTTTGACATCACCCTCAGGACGTGTTTTTGTGGAGGGTTTATAGTTGCAGGTGTTTAAACATCACTTTTAAAACCTGCTTGGATGGGTTTTTAATGGCACTTGTTTAACAACCCTTTTAGAAAGCATCTCAGGCTTGACTGAGCCCCCTTCATCTCACAGTTAATGCTTCATTTCTCACCTCTGAGCTGCCTTTCTCTCCTTCATCTGTGGCTTTGATTGAGTCACCTTTGTCCCCTCGTTAATTCCCCGGGTGACAGGGGTGTCGCTCACACCCTTCCTTGCCAAAAAAAACACCCCAAACAATCCAAGCACCCTGAGCAGAGCAACCTGCTCCCCCAGCTTCTGAGGTGGCCAGTTGGTGGCAACTAGTTGATGGCAACTAGTTGGTGGTGGCCAGTTGGTGGCAACCAGCTGGTGGCAGTGAGTTGGCGGTGGCCAGTTGGCGGTGCTCAGTTGTCCCAGACCCAAACCAGGGTGGTGGGAAGCAGGGGGTGTCCTCTCCTGCCCCAGGACCCCCCCCTCCAGGCTCTGAGCACTGCCTGCCCCCCCTCCCTCCCCAGACTGCAACTACCAGGGCAGGAAGGTGGGGAACGGCCAGACTTTCACCCCC